AGAGTTGACTAAATCTACTAAACATCACTACTACTGTGATACTAGATCTACTAGACATCTTTGCTTGTCATTGAGTACTTGGAGAAAATACTTTCTTTTCATATCTTCTGCAGTAATTAGAGAAAGGGGAAAGGTTAGGGAGAACTTTGGAGACCTTCCTTAACAAACAGAAGTTGTGTGTGGAGGAAGACTGTCTTTTTTTCAATGTTAGGCTGCTGTAGAAGTAAATGACTAGTTTGTCATGCTGATGGAGGGGAAGAAGGCACCAGTTTTCATAGACTGCAAGCTCTTCCTCTGCTGTTGATCCCCTCAATGTTGAAAGAGATTAGGGCAGAAAGAGCCCAAAAACATCTTGTCTTCCAGTATAGGAGAAATTTTTAATAGCTGGTAAAGATTGGTACATGTGGTATGATGGTAGAAGTCCTCAGTGACATTTTGACACAGTAAAACCATGGGGTTTTGTCATCATAGTTTGTAGAGACCTTCAGGAAAAAGGAATGCCTGCATTGGTTTTCTGTGGGGCCAGGAAAGTTAGCAATAATATTTTCCAATTAAAATGCTGTTAATATTCTCACTTCAAAACCAAGTAACTGGTGTAGGAGAGTTAAAAATGTAATTTTAATTCAGGGCCACTTTGCTAGGATAATCTAATATATCTGCCTTCCTCATTTAAACAACGTTTCTGAGGACTTCTGTTTCTTAATAAACTAAAACAAAAAGTAGCATTGAAAATGATGAAAAAAAATTGAGGAGTGTGTGAGGGGAAAGCACTAGACTGACTCAGTCACTTCAGTACCTTTTAAGACTGCTGCAGTGCTACTATATTGTCTACTACAGCATTTTCTTCTAAGAGGGGAAGAATTAAATAACTATTCATGTACTTAGAGCAAGAACTGTAAGGGTCAATAATGAATAGTGTATATAGGTTTGGCAGAATAAGTGTATAGATATATGTCAAAATGTACTAGTTTTTGCAGCTTTACTTGAGAGAAATGACAGCATGAGAAAGCTTCCTCCTTGGTTATACTTCTGCTACATAGTTGTTCAGCTGGGCATACATCCTGACCAAAAGGAAGCAGTGCTGCAGGACTGGTGATCACAAGCAAGCCCACAAAATACTGGCTAATTGTAAAAATCCTAATGTTTCTTCTAAAACTTCAGTAGGTTTTTATGTGCTTTTTCCCCTGGCCCTTTAAATGTCAAGGTTCTCTCAAAGCATATTTTCAAGCTTCCTTCTCTTCCTCCCCTACAACTACAAGGGCCAGGAATTTGAAGTCTGAGTGAGCTGAAATTTAAATTCAGTCAGTTAATTGCAGTAGCAAGAAGTTAAAATGTCACAAGACTAGGTATGAAGCTAAGATTGTTTTAAGATGAGTAGGATTTAATTTAATAGCAGCCACGTTTTAGTTAATTTAACTGTTTACATTAGTAATAGTCAAAGGTGCTTTACAAAATAAGTAGGACAGATGGAAAAGCATCCTGCTTTGTGTTATTAATAACACAATTTTCAGCAAGAAAACAAAAATGTTTATAAGTGTTTTGGGAAAAAATCAACTGTAGTGTGGTAATGTGACTGCCTACTCAAGTATTTTAGTTTCCTGTGTGATTTTTTTTTTTTTTTTTTTTTTTT